AAGTGATAGCGTGTGTGTGTGTGTGTGTGTGTGTGTGTGTGTGTGTGTGTGTGTGTTGCACTCTTTTGCCTGTTTCAGAAATTAATGTTTACTGATTTTCAGGACCATTTTTGCGTTATAAGTGCATTTTTTGTCTAACAATATAAGCAGCAAACATTAAATCAAGAGAAGTAGCTGCAAATAAAGCACACAATATTATGACACATTAAATAGCTAGAATACATTTAAAAAAACTGGACAGTGTTATGTCACAGTTCCCTACCTGTCAAGGTTAGATATTAAAAAATCAAACTTGCCTCAGTTATAGCCACATTTAACAGCTTTCCCCTCTGAGTCAGTGAATACAGATAATAGCTCTGGATATATCTGACCTTTATGTATAGAATATAAAAGTATGTTTTAAGACATCATAGACCAAATGTGCTTTCTAGCAACTCATCATTGATTGCCGATTCTAATCAGAGAGAGAAGAAAATGATATAGCCCCCCAAAAGACATTATTCAAGATAATAGTGCAACAAGACACACCCTGCGTTATAGTGAATCCCTGTTGATTAATATGTCAGAGAAAATTAGCAAGATTACTGTGATAGCAGTACACGTGTCTGTCAACCACAATATCAGGGACAGTAAATGTCCATCACTAAACTTCTTTTGTTTATCTTAATAACTTTTGTTTAAATTTAATTACTTTATTAATGTATGCCTATTATTATTTATTATATATTTCATTTTATTCATTGATTTTAGGCTAGGCTACTTGTTTATTTGTACATTTAAAAAAAACTTTTTTACACGAAAAAAAAATCCATTACGGAGCCTATATGCTAGATTTTTGATAGCCTACAAATTTACTCTTGAAGCACACTGAAATTTAAATTAAATTTAAATTATGGAAAAAAATAGCCTATATAAAAACGATGAGATAAAAAGCAACAGTTAAGACCTTGTATACACGACCGGCGGAATAAGCTGTTCATCACAACTAATTAAGATTTAGCCTAACTAATGCATTAATATAGCTAGTTCACTTGTTTCTCACATTCACTGCGTTTTCTGGCAAGCAATTATTACATAAAAGCCGATATAAACATTACACATTCCTTTCTGTCTCACATATCTACACAAAAAAAGAAAGAAAAAAAAGGGATTTACAAAAGAACGAATCTTGTTCTGTAATTACTCCCCATACCCCGAAACCCGCGTCAGAACTATGTTCGTTCCTATCCAGTTAATTCTGACTCCTGACTGCGCATGCGCCAAATCAGGACATTGGGACTAACGGTGTACGGAGTACGCATTTGGGTAGAACGGGTAAACAGTTTTTGTTTATTTTATTCATCTAATTTAAAGTCGCAGCCTTTTCTAATTATTATATACAAAACTTATAGCTTCGGGCGCGTCGATGGTTATATTCATTTGTGTCGTTTTTATGTATAAAACCGCATCGACAAGCTTCAGTCGATAGTCATCACGTATAGGGAATGAATTAACGAACAATTTTGTATGCCTATCATGTTTTTTTTTAACGTTTTGAGGCGGCAGCTTTATGTTTCTGTATAGTGAAATAACAGTCGTTTTGTGCTCGTCAAAAACGTAACGTTAACGTTACCTGTTTTTATTCGTGTGCTGACAGTGGATGACTGTGTCCTGTAACGTTACATGCTAGTAAGCTAACAGTCCTTGAGCCATACAAAATGAGTTATGTTTTTGGACAGATTTGTGCTGTTTATTGTGATTTAACATATGGACAGTGTCTTATGCCGGATTCCATCGAGAATATTGCTGTTGTTTTGACTTTGTTTTGAGAAAGTGAAAATGCTTGAGCACAAGTGATGTACTGTAAATGGGTGGTCGTTGATTAAATCTGGTCGTGTGTTCTGTCGTTCCCAAGGTCCAGTTTCCCTCTTTGAAAAGCTGCAGGAATCATGGGAGCCGGTGAGTCTTTTTATAGTCTTTATTTCTGCCAGAGACTGTGTGATATTTTCAAGGATGCCGATTTGTGTTTCTTAACGTTGCCAAGATATGTAGTGGGTGTGTATGCTGAGCCAGCTTGTGATCTCATGGATGTCACGTAAAGGTGATGCATCTTTCTGTCAGTAATTTTCCATTAGTATTAGTCACAGATTGTCAACAGCGGTCTTGACCTAAATAGTGCTTCTAATATTTAATCCATGCCTAATCAGATAATTATGCATCACAATATAGCATCTGTTTTATTTCTCCCACTCTCAATGCTGAGGAACAGTAGGCTACTCTTTCACAAGCTTCCCTGTGCCTGGGAGGAACCGGCATTTCAAAGAAGTCACTTTGTCGGTCATAGCCCCCCTCCTTGTTTCTGTGCTGTATGCTTATTTTTTGTATCTCCGCCAGTGTTCCTGCCAGCAGATGCCGCGCACTCGGTGCTGAGGAGACTCCCAAGAGCAAACTTCTTCTTGGAGGAGATTAAACAAGGGAACATCCAGCGAGAATGCAGGGAGGAAATCTGCAATTATGAAGAAGCCAGGGAGGCATTTGAGAATGACGAGAAAACTGTGAGTTTGGAGTAGATGCGTGCTAATGTTTTTGCATGAACTTGAACACAACTTCCTCTCAGTCATTCCACTCCATGGCGGCATTTCCTCTAGGCAGGAAGTGAGCATTATCAACAGGAAAGGCTCAGTGGGTACACATTTTCTCAGGATGGTTAATTATGCGTCATTCAGATGAAGGATGTTTGAGTTGTGTGCTTGTGGGCGTTTACACTGTTTATACAAAATAACAGAACAGTGATAAAGCCAGTATGTTTTTACATAATGTGAGCACTTGTTGAGTCCAGGGTAGGGCTGGATGATTTGGGGGGGGGAAATATAATTATGTGTTTGTTTTTTTTGCTCTCTGACGATTGTGATTAAAAAGATCACTACAGGTTTGATGTGCTTGTTTGTAGATATGCACTCAAGCACATTTGGCCAAAAATGGTTTTGATAATAATTGTGAATATAATTTTTAATATTGTGATGATTATTATTTGTACTAAATCAAAATATGAAATGAAATAAAGAAAATCAAGAATTTAAGAAAAATAATTCAACAATAATTTTATTTTATAGTAAAACTTTAAAATTACAAGATTAATATATATGGCACTCTTTATTTCTTCATTTTCAATCGTTAAACCGTCAAGATTTTATTTTGGTGTAAAACCTCATAGAGCCTTTCTGCCTCAGGCTTTCAGGCTTCCTTTTGAATCATGAATTGGAATTTGAATTAAAATTTGAATTGGAAGAAGAATTTACTAAATTGTAACAAATGTAATACATTCTGGACAATGAAGTGTTCTTCCACCCTCGTCCACAAATGTTAATTTAAATAGAAAAACTGAATGCAAATTTCTGTAAGGTCTCATTTCAATCTGTCTGTCATTCTCTCTGTCCATTTGTCCCTTAAACTTCAGGGCTTTTTAAACTTTCTTCAAAACTTTTAAACAAGTTAAGATTCAAAGTTTGCCTTAACAAACTTTACAAGTAAAAATGTATTTTCTCCATAATTTCTTTAATTTAATTCATTTATTTATACTTCCTACATTCTGAAATGTTTTGAAATGCAATTCTACATCATGCTTTGTGTTGGTGTGCAAAGTCTTGATGACATTGAAGAGGGTGTGGTTTTTGTTTTCAATACAAACGAGTTTGTTGTGCTTATTATTTACATTTATGCAGACTACGTCCTTATCTAATTGTGTTTTTTTCACTCTTACAGAGGCGATTCTGGGAGGAGTACCAGCGTGAAAGTAGCCCCAGGCCTGGAGGACTGGAGTCCATCGCCGGTGGCGTTCATTCCCTGTATCTGATCTTACCCCTGCTGCTGGTTTTGCTGCTCATTGCTGCAGTTTCCATCACAGTTTGGAGATGCCACTCACGCAAAAGATCCCAGCAGAGTCCTGCCATTGGGCACCCACAAAGAGACACAACCCTATCAGTGGTGTCAATGGACCAGTGGGGTCGGGACTACCATCCTGACATCAGTCCTCACTCGGAGATCAGTGCCCACAGTAGCCCCGCCTACCCAGGCACTGACCTCACACCTGGGCGGGGCAGTCGGGGTGACCCGCCCCCTTCATACGAGGAAGCTGTGGGCCATACAGATATACAGATTGAAGCAGAGCCTCCACCACAATATGAAGACATCATCAGTAACCACGGTAACACGGTTATCATCTCCCAGGGAAAGTGACGTATCTTCCAGGCATGTTATCCAGCCTCATGTAGGGATGCATTTTGATACCAGTACTGTAAACCCTGTCATTCCTTACTCGCTGTGTCTCTCTTCTCTTTTATAGCTAATGTTTTTGCGGGATGTGAACATGCTTTGGCCGTTTATTTTTAAGTACTAGAAGTATTTTTTTACAACTTCACTACTGCAATGACAGGCTTTTCAACTCCAACACTAGCAAAACAGCTAAACTTCTTTACTTAATGTGAAGAGAAAACAACTTATGCAATAACATTATTCTTAGTACCGTTACGTTGTTAAACATTGAATTGCTTTGATTTCAGAGATGTTCGTAGAACTCATAACAGCATGAATCCTAATCCTAGCCCAAATCCAATGACAAAGTACTGTAATGTCATTAGCCATTCTTCCAAGTTAGTAAGTCCTATGAGTGTCAGAACATCTTAGAAATGAACTGAATATTTGGTCAGTTGTGGCCTCTCATGGGACAACTAAATAATAAACTAAATAATCAGTTTCAGAGGAAAAAATGCACAATATTTTCAGGAAGTTGTACATTTTAATGTTTACTGACATTCTGTACTTCAAGGTTCATTGTAACCTTTATCAATAGCCATCTAAGCTTAGGCTATCTGTATAGAATTGCATAGACGTCACTATGCACTGGACTCACAGCCTCAATGAAATATTGATATTGGGTTGATTTTTCTTTTCCACTAGTTGAGGTGTTAAACACTGTGTGTGTTAAATTTGGTTAGCATGTTGGAAACATTTCAGCTAAATGGATAACCTGTTAACAGTGTGAATTTGCTGATAATACATTGCTGATAACATTGACCAAACAAATTCAATCCTGATTTTATGTAGCATCGTGGTTGTTAATGATGAATCAGACTAAGTCAACATGTGTGAGGTTTTGGATTTCGGAAAATACAATACTGAAAGGAATAGTTCGCTCAAAAATGAAAATTTGCTGAATATTTACTCACCCTCAGTCTATCCAAGATGTTGATGAGTTTGTTTCTTCAATGGAACAGATTTGGAGAAATTTAGCATTACATCACTTGCAGTGAATGAGTGCCGTCAGAATGAGAGTCCAAACAGCTGATAAAAAACATCACAATAATCCACATGACTGTAGTCCATCAGTTAACATCTTGTGCAGTGAAAAGCTGCATGTTTGTAAGAAACAAATACATCATTAAGATGTTTTTACACCATTGCTTCTGGCCAAAATACCAGTCCTCAATCCATAATAAGAAAAATTCCAGTGAAAAAATTCTGACGGCACCCATTCACTGCAGAGGATCCATTGATGAGCAAGTGATGTAATGCTACATTTCTCCAAATCTGTTGTGATGAAGAAACAAACTCATCTATGGCTTGTGAGTACATTTTCAGCAAATTTTAATTTTTCGGTGAACTATTCCTTGAACTGTTGTATTGTGTAAGTGTGGTTTGAGGTTTGCCATTTCAGTCGAGCTACAATGAGTTCAATGGCAAAACATGGTAGACTAAATGGTCTATGCAACAGTGCTTTCTTTTCTCTTCATAGCTTTGGAGCAATTTACATGGTCACAGCCTTGTGAAATTTATTCTTATTGTGGCCAAGGATTAAACGGGCATATTAAGCATCCCAAGCTGGGAATTCTAGGACAAGCAAGATGAATTGTCCATTGTGGAGGTAATTAATAAGGAGCCAGAAGCATGCTTTTTGTGTGCAGCTGAGTTGAGCTGTGTGCAGACTCTCTTTTAGATTGGTTTTAGGGTAAATAACTTGTGTTTTGTTTCTCTAACCTCTTAGAGAATGTCGAGAAATAACAATTATGACTACCTTTACCATGCTGGTTGTTTTTAACTGAATTCTTGTATATTTTGAATGTGTTGAAGGCTGTTTTTTACACATGGTTTGATTGTTTGAAACAGTAGTTCGATTCAACCCTTTTGCTTTCACACTGTGGTTTTAGGTCAGAATTGCGGTATGTTTGCATTTACAATGCAAGTGCTAGTGGCACCTGAGTAACACTATAAATACAGTGTGCTACAAAGCATAACTCTCCTCCCACGACAAATGACAGTTTGCTAACACTTTAACCTGACACCTTATATTATATTATAAAGGTATTCATAATGTACATTGTAAAGCATTCTGTATATTTATAAATAATTGTAACCAAAGTTCAAAAGCATTACAATATCTGCAGATTCCTTGTTGCATCTAAAATTGGTAGTTTATCATGTTTTAATACATAATATTTTCAAAAAGTGTAACAATGAATAGGTAAGTATTGTGGTTACAATTATTCATGAGATCATACAGTGGATTTTAACACACACACACACACACACACACACACACACATATATATATAT